GCCCCAGCCGCGGGTTTACAAGAGCAGGAAAGGTTTAGCGCTGGGAGCCAACAGCCCCTGCAGCCAGAAGCCCGCAGCAGAGGGGCGCTAGCTCAGTGCACCCAGCCTAGCATGTAGCCGGGTGCACTGGTGCCTACGGTCTGGCTACCTCTACATTGGCAAGATTTTACAAATACTCTTTAAGAGTTTTGTGTTACAGTATTTGCGCGAGAGAGCGTCTACACTGGCATGTGCTTCTGCGCGAGAGATGTGCTTTTGCACAAAAGCATCTCTTGCCCAAGAAAGCCCCGATAGCCATTTTAACCATAGAGCTTTCTTGCGCAAGAAATTCATGTTGCCTGTCTACACTGGCCTCTTGCACAAGAACAGTTGCGCAAGAGGGCTTATTCCTGAGGGGGAGCATCATAGTTCTTGCGGAAGAAGCAGTGATTTCTTACATTGGAACCTCAGTGTTCTTGCGCAAGAACTTGTGGCCAGTGTAGACAGGCAGCAAGTTTTTGCGCAAAAGCATACACTTTTATGCAAAATCTTGCCAATGTAGACACAGCCTATGTGTGCATTTGGTGCAAGGAGCTTTTGGCCTTCAGAGACCTTGTACAGGGTTTGGAGATCAGGGTGGCTGAACTGGAGGAGCTAAAGGAGGCAGAGAGGTACATAGAGGAGACTTTCCGGGACTTTATAAAACAGTTCCATTACCCAGTCAGACAGCCCCTGTGCTGTGGAGGAGGATGACAGGCTCAGGGGAGGAGAACACCCAACTGGAGCAGTGGGAAATGATCCCATAGTTGGGACCCTCCTTCCAGATGATGCATGGTATCCTGCATTGAAGGTCTCTCCGTGGAAGGGAACTGCAGTTATTAGGAAGAGATGGGCATTAGTAATGGGGGATTCAATTATTAGAAACACTGATAGCTGGTTTTGTGATGACAAAGAGAATGGTATGGTGCAAAGGTTGTGGATCTCTTGAGACACCTAGATAGACATATGTGTAGTGTTGGGGAGGAGTCAATGCTTGTGGTACATGTAGGGACCAATGACATAGGGAAGAATAGGAGAGGTCCTGGAGGCCAAATTTAGGCTGGTAGGAAAGAGTTTGAAATCCAGGATCTCAATGGTAGCATTCTCTGAAATGCTTCCAGTTCCACACGCAGGTTCCAGATAGACAGAACTGCATGGTCTCAGTGTGTGGATGAGACAATGGTGCAGGGAGCAGAGGGCTAGATTTATTAAGAACTGGAGAAACTTTGGGGAAAAGGGGAACATACACAGGAAGGATGGGCTCTGCCTAAACCAGATTGTTGGCATGTACATTTAAAATGGTTGTAAACTGAGGGTTGGGGAAAAGCTTCCCTTAGGGGAGGGTCTATTAATGGATATTCTTTATGTACTAGTAAGGCAGAGAGAATGGAAGATGATAAAATGCAGGTAAAATCTGATGAAAAACAATCACATGAAAAAGAGTTCATTAAATTACATCAAATAATGGCAGACAATTAAAAAGTGGCAAGTTTTAAAAGTGTATATATACAAACAATAAACATCAAAATAATAAGATGGGTGAAGAAGTGTGCCTTGTATTTAAGGAGGATAGTGATATAAAAGGCATCACAGAAATGTCTTGGAATGAGGATAGCCAATGAGACACAGTCATACCAGGATACAAAATATATCTGAAGGGCAGAACGGGTTGCACTGCTGGGGGAGTAGCACTATGGGTGTGTCTAGACTACAGGGTTTTGTCGACAAAACTATACCTGCGTCTACACTACCGCTGAGTTCTGTTGACATAATGTCAACAGAACTCGTCAATTTTGTAAATGGTGGTAAACCTCATTCTACGAGGATTAACGCCTTTTGTCGACAGAGCTCTGTCAATAGATGGCGTTATTGCATCTACACTGTCCTTTGCTTTGTCGACAGAACTGGCTGTAGTCTAGACGCTCTTTGTCGACAGAAGCTTTGTCGACAGTATCTCTTGACAAAGCCTCTGTCGACAAAAGCCTGTAGTCTAGACGTTCCCTATATGGCTACAGCTACGCTACATGCTTTGCCAAAAGAGGCAATGCAAATGAAGCATTGATTAGCATTTTCTCACACTTCTTTTGTATACTTTCTTTCATTCTGTTTTTGCACAAAAACAAACAGTGTGGACGTTTCCTTTTTGCGCAAAAACCTGGAGAGGCATAAAGATCTTACACAAAAAGGGGGGTTTGTTCAAAAATGAAATGTCCACACTGTTTGTTTTTGTGCAAAAAACCCTTGCACAAAAATGGAACGAAAGAGAGTATTCAAATGAAACGCGAGAAAATGCTAATCCGCACTTCATTTGCATTGCCTCTTTCGGCAAAGCATGTAGTGTAGACGAAGCTTGAGTGAAAGAAAACGTAAAACTGAAATGAAGTAAAAATATTAAGTGGACCAAACTGTTCCACAGAATCTTCATGGACAGTAATTCCATGTTCCAATAATAAAAATATAGCAGTAGGAATATATTATCAACCATTTGACCGGGATAGTTATTGTAACTGTGAAATGCTGAGAGAGATTAGAGAGGCTATAAAAATAAAAAATTCAATAATAGTGGGAGATTTCAACTATCCCCATATTGTTATCAAGACGGGATGCAGAGATAAAATTTCTTGACACCTTAAATGACTGCTTCTTGGAGCAGCTGGTTCTGGAACCCACAAGAGGAGAGGCAATTCTTGAATTAGTCCTAAGTGGAGCACAGGATCTGGGCCAAGAGGTGAATATAGCAGGACCACTTAGAAATAGTGACTATAATATAATTAAATTTAACATTCCTGTGGTGAGAAAAGCAGCCCAACACTATGGCATTTTATTTCAGAAAGGGGAACTATACAAAAATGAGGAGGTTAGATAAAGAGAAATTAAAAGGTACAGTGCCAAAAGTTATATCCCTGCATGGAAACTTCAAAGACATAATAATAGAGGCTCAACTTAAATGCATACTCCAAACTAAAAACTATAGTAAGAGAACGAAACCATGGCTTAACAACCAAGTAAAAGAAGCAGTGTGAAATAAAAAGGCATCATTTAAAAAGCAGAAGTTAAATCCTAGTAAGGGGAATAGAAAGTAACATAAACACTTGCAAATGAAGTGTAAAAATATGAGGAAGGACAAAAGGGAATTTGGAAGAACAGCTAGCCAAAAACTCAAAAAGTAATAATTTCTTTTAAGTATATCAGAAGCAGGAATCTACACAACCAGTGGGATTATGGGACAATCATGGTATTACAGAAGCACTCAAAGCCAATAAGATACAAAGAAGTGCAACAGAATTATTTGGAGTACTGAACACATTTCATATGAGGAGAGATTAAAAGACAGACTTGTCAGTTTGGAAAAGCGATGATTAAGGGGAGATATAACAGAAGTCTATAAAATCAATTTACTATTTCAAATAACACAAGAACTAGTGGGCACTCAATGAAATTAACAGGTAGCAGATTAAAACAAACAAAATAAAGTTTTTTTTCACAGTCAACCTGTGGAACTCTGCCAGGGGATATTGTGAAGGCAAAGATTATAACTGGGTTCAAAATAGAACTACATAATTTCATGGAAAATAGGATCCTCGATGGCTAGTAGCCAGTGTGAGCAGAGATCCAACATCATGTTCTGCATGTCCCTCACCTCTGTGTGTCAAAAACTGGGAATGGCTGACAGGATGAATCACTCAATGGTTGCCTGTTTGTGTTCATTCCTTCTGAAGCACCTGGTATTTGCTACTCTCAGAAGACAGGATACTGATCTAGATGCTCCGGAGCCACAATTCCATAAGAATGGCTCTGACCCAGTATGGCCATTCTGATGTCTGAAGCGAAAGAAAGGCAGGGACACACAGATTGTCGTGTAATATAGTTAAATCAGAGTTGATATATTTCAGCTCCAAGGCCTACTCTGCACCTCTCTTGCACAAAAGCCTATGAAAATGAAGTGTGGATTAGCATGTTGCTGTGCTTCATTTGTATAATTAATTAGGGGCTGTTTTTGCACAAGAGGCTTTTGCGCAAGAGCCGTTCTTCCTGAAAAAATGAAGGCCAATACCCAAATTACATCAGAAGTGAAAGCTCATGATACTATGCATTTTTTTGTTAGTCTCTAAGGTGCTAGATTAACAGTTACCCCTCTGAGACTTTAGAACAAGTTATTATTAGAGCTAAGTGGGTCTATTATTTGTTTTTCTTTTATATAGGAATTAGACACAGGGCTAAAATAAGAAGGTGAGTCCCTGAAGGGGAAATTACTTATGG